AGAGGAGAGGGGAAGGAGGAGGGAATATGGGGGTACAGGAAGAGAGAGGAGAGGGAAGGGGAAGGATAGGGAGAGGGGGTAGGGAGAGCAGGGTAGGAGGGACAGGGGGGGAATTACTCGGTGTGTCATGGTGTCGTACAACTGATACATGAGCTTCTATGTTTATAAGCATAATTCTCACCGCTTGCTGCTTTAGGACAACTGATTGCTATAATTAGACTCACTCACCCCCACCCCCCACCTCCCTCAAACAACCCCTCATCCTCCCCTCCTTCCCTCACCTCCTCCCCACCCCTCATCCCTCTTCCCCACCTCCCATCTCCTCAAACAACCCTCATCCTCCTCCTTCCCTCACCTCCTCATCCCTCTCCCCCCTGCTGCTACACCCCTTTAAACGCCTCTTATGCAAATTATGTAAATTGTGTATGCAAATTTAACAATTCGTGAGGTCATAACAGTCCCTCACACACACACACACACACACACACACACACACACACACACACACACACACACACACACACACACACACACACTACCACGACAAAGCAGCAAGTGTGAGTGTCTCACACGAGAGTCTCGAGTCTAAAAAATAAAGGAACCACCTGAAGAATCTCCAACCCAATTTATTTTTATCTTAAGAATAATCACCCTAACACTATTTGGGGGGTGGGGTGAGGTTAGTGAGGTTAGGTTGGGTTAGGTTAGGTTAGGTTAGGTAGGGTTGACAGAGTCAGTTGATGTGTGTGTGTGTGTGTGTGTGTGTGTGTGTGTGTGTGTGTGTGTGTGTGTGTGTGTGTGTGTGTGTGTGTGTGTGTGTCAGGTGTTGATATCGTAGTCATCAATAATTCAGAGCAATTCATGCACACCTTCACACAGCACCTCTGGGTCTTTTGATCAACCAGTCGTGTACTGTTGGTCGTGTTTCCGTGAACGAAATGCTAGGTGGGTGGTGGATCTCTCTCCGTTTTTTCTCGTTTTCTTTCTTTTTCTCTCTGTCTCTCTCCCCTTTCTATCTCTCTCTTTATTATCTAACTTAACCTAACCTCACCTGACCTAGCATAACACAAAAGTATCGATATAGGTAACGCTATAATTACAGGTATTACAGAATGATATACAAGACTAAAATACTACCTGGGTACCAATTACAGTTCACTCACATCAAGATTACAGGTACAGGAGTAAATACAGGTATAATAAGGTATAAAACTTTTCATAATAGCGACAGAACACGAACGCTACTTAGGAACAATGTACAGTCGCTTACAGTTACACCTGGTACAGTAGTGGTGCGTTTTTTTTTGTGTTGTATTTGAGATGTAGCAACTTTGTGTTTGTTTTCACTGTATTAAAGACACCGAAGAGACATATGTAGAGTGAGAGAGACATCCAGACAGTCAAATACAGACAGACAGACAGATAGACAAAATTGAAATAGCCATGAAGAGAGTCGATATTGTTTAACAGAACGAGCATTAATCCGACGTCAGGTCACTTCACCCCTCACTATTCGTCAGCCACTAGTGTTGATAATTGGTAAAAAAGAGAATGTGTGTGTATTTTCCCCATCAATATGCGGCACAAACTAATTGAGTTATACCTCCCAGGTCGATCACAAAAAACGGACCGGGCTAACACACACACACACACACACACACACACACACACACACACACACACACACACACACACACACACACACACACACACACACACACACTACTGTACGTACTGTAGGATGAAGACATGCGTTGAGACTGTTTGGTGTAAAAATAAATTGACATAATTCTGCCTCCTGCCCCTCTCCCCCCCTCCCCACTGAGACGTACACACAAACTCCTGCTGCTAAGAAAACAATTGCAAAGATGTATAACCGACCTGTGACTGATACAAAAGTGAACAATATCGTTTCATAAGGGAATAAGGAGTTGAATAGTGATGAACAGTATTGAACACTTATAATAAACGCTAAAAAGGTAATAGCTGAAAGTCGTGGTGCAATTTGAGGTCATAGGATATCATTTGACAGTGAGTTAGGACCTGTGACACCATGTTAGGTCATCCAGGGTGATCTCACACAGAAGGGCGTAAAACAGACTATATTATCGTCCACTGTAAAACTAACTTATGTTGATTTTAAGTTAATTTTTCTATTGTAAGTAATAAGTTATTTCTGTTCATTGTGTATTGTCAATCTTTAGATACTGTACTGTTTATAATAAATCGTTAATTATTATTATTATTATTATTATTATTATTATTATTATTATTATTATTATTATTATTATTATTATTACATATGTACACACACAAATAAGGTGTACACGTATGCATATATTTACAGAGAAATGTTCAAGTATACATACATGCATACAAAAATTTTACTGAACATGCATACAAAAATTTTACTGAACAGAGTATATTGTTCGGATACAACACAAAGACTGGCTAATCATTCCCCTCAATCACCATACAATAATTTTTCCAATCAGTATAACAAATCGAAATCCTGAACACAACAACAAATCTAAAAATGTAACAGTTTATTTATTTTTTTCTTCACCATTTTACCATCAAGAGACCCAGGAACGGTATTGTCATTATATTCAATCACTCTGTCATTATATTCGAGGGTAAGGAAGGAACTGGGTGAACGAATACAACAACAACAACAATAATAATACAATAATACAACAATAATAATACAACAACAATACTAAAAAATTAAATATCCCCCAAAATATATAAAATAATTAAAAAAAATACTTAATGAGATAAAATTACTTAATAAAATAAAATATAAATAAAATAAACCCAAAAATAATAATTACCAAAAAAAAGTCAATAAGAAAATAAAAGTAAAAATCCAGGTTGATATTTTATTTATTTATCTTTTATTTACATCCATACAGAGAGAACCTTTTTAATGTATCACTGAAATTTAACCTTTATTCCCCTCTATAATTAGTACCAATTCAGAGTGAAATTAGATTTATTTGGCAGAGTGCATATATTCATTAATGCTTATGTGAGTATTTCCTGTGTGTGTGTGTGTGTGTGTGTGTGTGTGTGTGTGTGTGTGTGTGTGTGTGTGTGTGTGTGTGTGTGTGCGGATATAAGACGTCAAATCCTAATAACCAGCCATAATTAGGATACATACATACATACATACATACATACATACATACATCAATAAAACTAAACTTGAAAACCGTTTGTGTTCAGGTAAATAATAAAATATTTTACACAGTTTTAAAGCTTATATATTTGTGTTCGTATTTTCCTATTATAGTTTCCCCTCAACAACAACAATAATAATAATAATAATAATAATAATAATAATAGTGATGTATGTATGTATGTATGTATGTATGTATGCTAATTAATCATTATTCTGACATACATTCTACTACCTACAGTACATCAGTAACAACAATAACATCCAAGAATATAAATAATTAACCATACCCTCAATTAGGACGATCATACGTAAAGATGTAAGTTGTATCGGTATATTTAGAATAAGTATTGCTATTCTGGATTGTGAATATCGAGGCGTGGAATGAACGCGGCGCAGTCAGTCAGTCAGTCAGGTGTCAACAGAGGGTCGATATTGTCTGGTCAACACTGGGGTGGTAGAGTCAGCGGTGCCGGGAGAAGCGAGACACACGCGACACATAGATCCTCTCTCTCTCTCTCTCTCTCTTTTTCTTTCTTTATATACTCTCTTTTTTATTTTCTGTCTCTTTATTCATTTTTTTATTTTCTTTATATATACGAGTACTCTCTCTCTCTCTTGAAATATTGGAGAGAGAGAGAGAGAGAGAGAGAGAGAGAGAGAGAGAGAGAGAGAGTCAATTAATCCTCTAACTCTCTCTAATAATAATCACTGATGGAATTAACACGGTTCAGACAATATAATTTAATTACCTCATTTTACCTGCATCAACTATCTAATTAATTAATACCTACGGCGTCCTTAAATAGCTTCATTATATATAATATATAACTACGATACCTTACAGTTAAACACTTTTTATGAGCTCTCTAACAACAACAACAACAACAACAAAAATAATAATAATAATAATAATAATAATAATAATAATAATAATAATAATAATAATAATAATAATAATAATAATAATAATAATAACACCACCACCAACAAAAACAATAACAACAACAAAATTAACAACAACAATAACAATAATAAACACAACAATAATAATTAGTGTATTTTTTTTACTGTGTTATAAGCTTATGCCAAACAGTCAGGTATGCATTATTACACCTTTAATTAAGAGGACCATACGTCTCAAGGGAAGAAACTTGGTGCAATCTCTCTCATAATTCTGGAAGGATTTCTATGTTACTTGGCTATACTGCTTCGCCTCTCTCTTCCTTCCTCTTCCTTCTCCTGGTTCTTCTTCCCTCTTTTTTTCTTTCTCTCTTCCCCCTTTCCTATCTCCCCCACCCTTCTCTTTCTTCTTCTTCTTCTTCTTCTTCTTCTTCTTCTTCTTCTTCTTCTTCTTCTTCTTCTTCTTCTTCTTCTTCTTCTTCTTTCTTCTTCTTCTTTCTTCTTTCTTTCTTCTTCTTCTTTCTTCTTCTTTCTTTTTTCTTTCTTTCTCCTCCCCCTCCTCCTTCCTCTCTCCTTCTGGTTTTACTTTCCCACATTTCCTTCTCTCCTCCTCCTACCACTATTCTTCCCTTCCTCTTCCACTTCAATTCCTCCTCGATCCTCTTCCTCTTTCCTCTACCTAGGAAGATAAGATTCCATTTAATTACCTTACTGAAGACACTATGGCAGAGAAAGTGTCCATATAATTACTGTCACTGCCCCAAGACAAAGAAAGTGCCTATATTAAGACCCAGCTTATGACTGCCAATGCCAAGATATAAAGAAAGTGTCTAGATTATAAACGCCATTTCTCAGGATAACGAAAGTACCTAGATTATGGCTGTCACTGTCAAGATATAGAGAAAGTACCACTTACCGCCATGTCACCCAGCAGTGCCACACGACAGTGAAGGTAGGTTGTCTGTCCCACGGAAGTAGTGATATTACGGTGACCCGGAGACAGGAAATAGGGCACTGTCGTTAGTTCCGGGTATGGGTCAGCTGTTAAGGAGAGAGGGACAGTAATTAGTGGTGGTAATTTAGTAGTTAATGATGATATAATTAATTAACTGCCTAATGGTTCAGGTAAACACATTAACTACTTACCTGTTGGTCAAATTATATTAAGGAACTAATTAAACTGTAATTAACTTAACAAAACCTAATTAACCTGTATTTAAGGTAAAGGGAAAATTTAATTAACTTGTGGATAATGTAGAGGGAGGGAGGGAGGGAGGGAGGGGAGGGAGGGAGGGAGGAGGGAGGGAGGAGGAGGGAGGAGGGGTGGAGGGGAGGGTGGGAGGGGAGGGAGGGAGGGAGGGGGCTAAGGAGGAGAAAAGGTAAGAGAGAGAGAGAGAGAGAGAGAGAGAGAGAGAGAGAGAGAGAGAGAGAGAGAGAGAGAGAGAGAGAGAGAGAGAGAGAGAGAGAGAAGCAAGGAAAAGGGGAGGGAAGGAGATAGAAAGGAGGCAGCCACTGTGTGTATCCCCACACACACACACACACACACACACACACACACACACACACACACACACACACACACACACACACACACACACACTTTACAGCAACACGCCACAGAAAAAATATGCCCCAAAATTTCCCAAATGTAATTAAACTGTGGTCCTTCTGTCATGACTGAGCCAGCCAGCCAGCCAGCCAGCCAGCCAGCTAAATAGCCAGCCAGCCAGCCAGCCAGCTAGTCTTTTTTAGCCAGCCAGCCAGCCAGCCAGCCAGCCACAGCCAGCCAGCTAGCCAGCCAGCCAGCCAGCCAGCCAGCCAGTCAGCCAGCCAGCCAGGCTCCTTAGCCAGCCAGCCAGCCAGCCAGCCAGCCAGCTGTAGCCAGTCAGTCAGCCAGCACCACCTCGCTCACTGGTAACACACACACATCCATTTTAAACGTCTATGTAAATTTGATAAAGTGTGCAGACCAAGTACAGTACATCAAATGGTAGTATAAAATTCCTCAGTTAGTTGTTAGGTCTCTGTTGTTTCTTATGTCTGTGATACTGTTTGTAGGAAGAGAGAGAGAGAGAGAGAGAGAGAGAGAGAGAGAGAGAGAGAGAGAGAGAGAGAGAGAGGAAAGATGTGATATTCAGGTATAATAAATGTGCTTATACCAGCTTAAGTGGTAGACAATAACGAGGAACCTTGAGAGTGTGTAAAGGAATAAGATTTTAATAATCATTTATCATTTCCCAAGTTGCTGAATAATATAAAAGGCTCTTCAAGATTCAGTGTCAATTCATTACACATATCCAGCTGTTGCATAATACATAATGTTCATCATGATATGTGTGGTAAATAATTTCAGGCTGCTGACACCAACTATACTAGAAGGTACATTGTGTCATATACAGTACAATAAAAACAGTCATTGTCTAAGGTCGTAGCCCCGTGGAACACCATATGAAGAAAAAAATATAAAAATACACCGCCAACCATTAAATAAGCTCTATTACTTTCAGTTTGAGAGATAAATATAAATAATTCCTATTATTAAGGCTTCTTATACCAAAATAGTAAGATAATATAGAGTGATCAAGTGTTTTTGATGCTTTAAAGAGATCTGGCAATATTCCATCTGTGTCAGGGTTATGAAGAAGAGAACGACGGAACGTAACCTGTTGATAGTACAAGACGGTTTGGACGTCACTTTCAGTAGTTTGTTTATCTAAAGCCAGATGATTTTATACACCAGAGAGAGAGAGAGAGAGAGAGAGAGAGAGGAATTACTGCATGTCTAACACTCTGGTTAATTTGGAGATGATGAAAAAGAGTGAAGACAGAGTCAAGGTCATGTATAATACCTGGGCGTCTGCCACTAATTAAAGAATATTTGAGGTTAAATCTTTTACCTTATATTTTTTTTTACGGAGTTCATGTTGAAGATTAATCACGTAAGGTTATCAAGGATTATATATATATATATATATATATATATATATATATATATATATATATATATATATATATATATATATATATATATATATATATATATATACGTATTTCTAGAGTCATTACGTGTCGAGGCAACATCACTACACACAAACAACTTACTCCATCATACTTAGATTATGTCTGTACCATCACCACTATAGCGAAACACACTGTATAACTTGGACTCATAGAAACCTCGTCACATAATATTCATAGTTAGGTTCAAACATTATCAGGTATATACAGTGTAGACCAGAAGACCCCTTTACAAGTGTAGTATGACTTTAACATGACAATATGCAACACACACACACACACACAAAAAATCGTGGGTAATTTCAGTACTGGTGAATTATTTCCCTAATTTCTGCCAACCCCGACGCCAGCCAGCCTTGTGATTAGGGTAAAAATTTAGGGAACAAAGAAATTTCTACCGTACCACACCAGGAGGAATTGTGTGGGAATGACTCGGCTTAGAAAAAATAAAATAAAGTACCACACCAGGAGGAATTGTGTGGGAATGACTCGGCTTAGAAAAAATAAAATAAAAATAAAATCAAGAGTTAAATGTTTATTTATATTTATTTCAGTCACTCATGTTTGGTCATAGAAAATGGTTCTTCCCTGCCAGGATTGAAATAACCCTGCAGGCCGGGGAAAAAGATTGTACGCTGGAGGCTGGGCAGGGAAAATATTCTAGTTAAGTGGGGATAAGTAACGTACTGTAGGGTAGGGAAAATGATTAGTCTGGTGGGAATATTCTTTTGAAATGGGAATTTTTTTTATGGAAGGCATGCTTAGGGTTGACTAATAATAATAATAATAATAATAATAATAATAATAATAATAATAATAATAATAATAATAATAATAATAATAATAACAATAATAATAATAATAATAATAATAATAATAATATAATAATAATAATAATAAAAATAATAATAATAACAAAAGCAAGGTCTGACATTAAATACCATAACAAAATCACAAAAGAATACTTAAGGACAATAGTGAATATGCAAATGAGTCTAGAATAAACACGAGGAAGAAAATTAATTATATCTGACTTAACAGGAACGGAAGGGAGAGGATAGTGCACATGTAAAATATATATATATATAGTGTTTGTCAAGCGTGGCGGGTGTGTAGTGTGGGCCGCGTCAACTAGTTTCCTCCACACACACTGCTATACCATACTGGGGTCTAATTATCACCTTGGCTGAATGTCACTCGTTGTTCCGCCATATCTGATGTAAATTAATTAATATATTCCCAGAAATATTATTATTCTCCTTTCAGATGATAATATTCAATTTCTGTAGGCAATACCATCATCGTTTACACTTTATAGTTTTAATTTACCGGGGTATTGTTTATATATCTGGCGAAGTGAGGACATATATACACACGCATACAGTCATACTCATACATATACGAACACATACATACACACACACACACACACACACAGACATCGCTAGGTTAATTTTAAAAACACAACAGATATTTTTGCCAGCTGGGAGTCACTTCCCTTTGTCACACATACACACACACTCTCTCTCTCCATTCTTAATACACCACTTACATTCTTTTCCGTTTCTTTCTCTCATTTATTCAGTCATCCATTATTCTATTCACTTACACATCCAATCCCTAGACATCTGACACACTTCTCACATCTTTCATTCGCTTTCCACCCTATCAAACTTTTTTTTATATAACCCATCTCTCCTTCATTACTTATTTCCATGTATTTATAAAATTCATAGCCATACCCACATCACCATAGAAGAAAACGGAAAATGAAGTATGGCTAAAGGAATAACTGTGCTAAAATGAATAACTATTTAACCCTCGAATTAATTAATTTTGTGGAAGCGAGTGGGATTAATTATTTTATCCACATGAGAGACATTGTTGATAATCTTAATTGGTGGATGATTATAACTCTGATTGGTGTGAAATTTTAGGGATTGATTTGTTTACATACCAATAGTAAAATTAAAGGAATATAATTACTGTATAAATTAGTATTTTTATCTACAGTTCTAATCACACACACAACAATGATATAAAATTTAATATAAAACTAAAATTTTCTTGTGTTTGCAATAAAGAAGAAAACAATATAAGAGTGATTAAGAATATCTAAGAATAAATAATAATATATGAATACAAAATATAATTGGATAAAATACACGGTAATATACATTGGTGAATTTAACATTATGACTGTACGTATTAAGTCATGGTTGCCGTGGAGAACTGACCAGGTGAGGTGTCTGTACAGGTGAGTTAAAGGTAATATAATGATTTTACTTACAGGTATTTACAGTAAACAGAAATGGTTTGTTTGTTTATTATTATTATTGTTATCATTATTATTACTAGTACGATCATTATCATCATCATTTTTATTATTATTATTATTGTTGTTGTTGTTGTTGTTGTTGTTGTTCATATATATATCTCGTGTGTATCCATATTTGTGATATTGCATCCGAGAGCCGAGCAGCGAGGCGAACGAACCTGCTTCTAAGCGCTGGGTGTTGGCAAGGAGAGAGAGAGAGAGAGAGAGAGAGAGAGAGAGAGAGAGAGAGAGGTCAAAATAGCATCGTCTCTTATCTTAGTTTACTGAATGTTACTTCTCAAGTGGTATATAATGCTAAAGAATATTTGTTATTTATACTGTTAGTTAAAAAGTTTGCAATACATCTATTTTACAAGAAAAGTTTATAAAAAAAAGTTTTATATATTTCCTTGTATCAAAGTATAAAAAAGTAATTGTATTTTCATAAGATTACAAAATATATAATAAAAAAAAGAGTTTGTCATATTTCCTTTAATAGAATAATAATAATAAAAACAATTGAAAAAAAATATATAAAACTTAAGTTATATTCCCTTATATACAAGAAAAAAACAAACATTCTATAACATAAAAAAAAATATATTCCCTACGCTGTAAGTTTAGCGACGTGTAGTTCCCGGGTCTTAGAGCATGTGAGGTCAGAGACGGTTAGTGTCAGCACCGTTAACACCAATGAAGAAGCGTC